TTGTGCTAAGTTCCCGCATCGCACCTAATCAAAAAAACTATTTAAATTAACTATTTCTTTAGAGTTCCGGTTTGTTTTACAATAGTTCTAGAGTTCTATATCATATATAACAATAGTTCTAAAGAAATAGTTGATTTTACTGATTAGGTGCGCTGCGTGAACTTAGCGCACCTTTTTTAAAAAGTCTATTTTTTTAGAGTTCCGGTTTGTTTTACAATAGTTCTAGAGTTCTATATCATATATAACAATAGTTCTAAAGAAATAGTTGATTTTACTGATTAGGTGCGCTGCGTGAACTTAGCGCACCTTTTTTAAAAAGTCTATTTTTTTAGAGTTCCGGTTTGTTTTACAATAGTTCTAGAGTTCTATATCATATATAACAATAGTTCTAAAGAAATAGTTGATTTTACTGATTAGGTGCGCTGCGTGAACTTAGCGCACCTTTTTTAAAAGTCTATTTCTTTGCATTTAATGACCGGAACTATATAAAATTGTTGCATAGACCTGTAGAACTTTTCAAGAGAGTATCAGAACTCTAAAAAAAATGTCACATTTTCAAATATGGTGTGCCAAGACTTGGTGAACTTGTGCTCTTTACGCTAACGCGAAATTGTGCTTCTAGAAATTGTGCTCTCTACGCTAACGCGAAATAACTTATAACCTACCATACCATAGCCTCCCTTCGGCCAATGCGCAGAATAAGTACCACTCTGCATACGCGAGAATCCGTATATGCTACTATAACGGATCGCACGTTATGGGGCTGATTCTGGGATGTTGGAAAAATATTTTCGAGGTACTGGGTATGCTACAGAGTGACACAAACACGCATTGGAAACGATACAGAACAAAATAAGCATATCTGACGTAATTTTTAAATATATGTAAATTTGGTAGAAAGATTTTTATACATGCGTGATTATAATTTCCGCAAAATATGGTAAACATAGAACAGTTTATACAAGATCTATATGTATAAAAAATAAAAAATAAGAAGAATATAGTGTGTTTGTGAAAAGTGTTTATCTGACAAGATGTTTCGGCGATCTACGTTATCGATATTTTCGAAGGTTGTCCCATTTGGCATCCCCTTGGCATTCAATTTGGCATCCCCTTTACGCAAAAACAACTAGTATTTCCAGTTATTGTATTATGCTCAATTAGCCATCCAGATTGATGAACGTGGTCATCTATAGACATTTACAAAAACATTTCTTATACGCTATTCTGAACTCTCCTATTTTCTCTTTATTTAATGAGCAACTAAAATTTTGTGTGGGTTTGGGAGATCCGTGTTGTACGTTTTAAAGTGAAGAAGTTCTTAACATATTATAATATTGTGCTTTATTTACATACTTTATTTATTATCATATCATTAATTTCCATTATCATTATCATTAATTCATATTCATTGTCACTGTATCTCGTAGAAGCGTTGCAATTTATGAATCCATGCATAACACGAATGTTGCAGCTACTTTGCACTCGTCGGTTATGGTTTTAACTAAAATGAAAAAAAAATTTATAAACTATGATTAAGCTCAGTAGTGTTAAATCAAACCCATCACACATAAAAACATTATGGATGAGTCCAAGTATAATTTGCAGTTTCCTTTTTTACAATATTCTGCATATAGCAATCAATATTTACCCTGATTGGCGCACAAATCCACATATTGATAGAGTTTAGCGAGATCCTCAGGACTAGGTTTTCCGTCCTTGGAGTCCATCATTTTTTTTATCTTGCCTACATTTAAATGCGCATCTGTCATCTGGAATTTGTGAATAAATATGATTTACAGTGCATAATCGTGTAAACATATGAAATTCAAATAATGTATCGCTTAGTTATTCGTGTTGTAATTTCTATGTATTTCTATTGTATTAAACTGTGCTGTAATTTCTAAATAAAAAATTAAACTACAGAGTAATACTGTAGAAAATTAAACTGTAATTAATAAATCTAAAATTATCTTTAATTCCACGAAACCACACTTCATCCCCTCGAAATTAAAACCCATTTTATTTGCGTTAACCAAACACAAGTTGTCCAATATAAATATATAAATTTATGTGTCTGTACGTGTGTCTGTACTTGTGTATGTGTGTGTGTGTGTATTCATGTGCAGATGTGTGGCTTGTTTTTTGAAAAAATTATTTATTGCGATTGATATTTACCATTTCTTTCTTCTGGCCTAAGCAAGCAAACAGACAGCCGATTTTTAAATTTATGTCGTGGAGATCTGGTGATTGTAAATTGTTTCTCCTTCTCGTGTCAAATTTTATCATATCTTCTAAAAAAATATTTTATCGGTAAAATCGACTAGATTAGTATTGTTCGAATTGCTTGAATTAATAATGAGATTTTGCGCAAACAACAGCTTACCTAGTGTTATGCCTTTCTCGATGAAGCATGTCCGCGCTTCATCCTTCGTCATTTCTAAAAAGTTCGCTATTCCTTCTACCATTCTTTCGTATTGCATGTCCTTTGGATTTTTGCCCATTGTCTGCAATGGCCAAAAAGAATCAAGATCTTCGTAGAACAGACGGAAGCATGATTCAACAAAAAATTTGAATAATGCAGCAAATTTTGTTATTAAGTACAATGCATATATCCTGATATTACATATTGGTTTACAGTGAAGTGCAAAACGGTTTAAACATTATGAAGCTGGGAGCTTACCAAGTTGTAAAAATTGAAAGTCACTATGGACTCTCTCTCTCTTTGTTACGCAATATAATATAATTACGCAATATAATATGATATAATTACGCAATTATAATATTATAATTAAGGACAATTATATATGACAAATAATAATAATATACTATATGACAATAATTATAATTAATATTATAATTAATACACAAGCCCGTCAGTAATTATCTTCAATATTGACAGTTTGATGCGCTCCAAACTTCATAGTGTCTAATGTTTTGTAATTTATTGTATATCCATTGCCTCGAAAAATCAAAATTTTGAGATTTGAAAACTGGGAAAAGTTATATAATATTGAATCTAGAAATGGAGACAATTTGTCACAATACGATGTTGTCGAAATATTGAATAGTGTGCGACTTTCGCAAAATATTATATTACTGAAATGTGAATATTTTTCGGGCAAATTGTATGCTCCCAACATTTCGGTAATATTGCATTTGGCAAATTGTCTTGATATTGTGACTTTTCGACATATTTTCCACTTTTTCGATTTTCTCTATATTTCGTTACCGATGATTCCAATTGGCATTGTATCCGTAGCGTCTAAAGTTGATTCAATTTTTGACATCATTATCATAAATATTACTTGTATACTCAGAGAAAAATATCATTTTCCTGCCAAGAAATACGAGTGCACAGTTTATTTATTTTTTTTTTCCTCGAAGTAGAGTTTATTTTCAACAAAAAATGTTTATATTGATAATAGTCTTAAAATATCTATTTATCACAAATTTGGAAGAAGTTCACATTATCCCGTACTCAAAAGGAGAATATCATAAGAGGAATTTACAATAATATTACAAAAAATTATCTAAAGGAAAATTGCTTCCACTTTGTGTAGTAAGTAAACCGAAAATTTGTTTTAATTTAATATTTTTGGTTAAAATGCTAGATTTATCACGATTTAGAGTAAACTGAATACTTGTGATAAACTTGTGATAGATTTGGGGATATATTTGCTTAATATAAAATACTTATAATATTTATTTGAATGCAGTATGAATTTTTCTGTGCGTGTTCGTGACTGTCATTGTGATAGATGAAGAAAGCTGCAGATTTCGGTTACATTCTTACCAACTACGAAAATACTTACGGCAACGACGAATGTGAAGAAAAGCAAAAGTGTTAGCTTCATGTTTCGACTCGTGTAGCTTTCTTTTCCACGATAATAGATTTTAGTTTGCGATTAATAATCCGCAACTATTCAGCTATGAACTGCTGTTAATATCACGATATACAGGATTTATATACTAATGATAAAAGAAAAAATATTGGGTTACACTAATATCGGAGGTTATCGGACGCAATGTCACGCAAATGCCGAAGTCACAGAAAGAGAATTCCATCAGTCGCTATTCAGTGAATTTCGGTGTGTTATGTTGACAGACGTGCAAATTGTTAAACACGAATGGAATTAATATAATAAGAATATGTTAGGGTTCGATTTCCTATTAATTATTGATTCATTACTTTCGCGTCTGTGCTTTCTCTTGAACGAAGTGATCTTCGAAACGTGCGGAATAAGTCATTCGTGAAAGTGTAAATGTATTTCGTTGTTTTTTGCTTGTGTCATATATGCGTTTCTTTTTTACGGATGTTTTGTTGCGTGAATGCTTTAATGCATGTAAGATTTGGACGAATAAGTGATCAAATGTTAACTTTATTGCAGAATGATCTGTTGCGAACAGTAATCTGTGACTACAGTAATCCATTAACCAATAATTGGATATTAGTCAATTATATATTGAAATATTTGCAGTATTTATTTATTGCAAATTTCTTAGTAATTAATATAATTCTTTTCTAGATAAAGCAATAACTAAAAAATTAAAATGGTGTGTAAGCAGTAAAAGGTCAATATAATCAATATAATTTGTTTTTTTATTATCTTTCTCTTATACAACGGTTTGCGAATGTTCATTATTGCGGACACAGTTGCTTAAATTAGATTACATAATTTATATAACAGTGGAAAATTACTTCCACCATATATTTTATTCAAAGTCAAATTTGTGATAGTAGGAAACTGACAAGCGTCTTTTTCTTATTAAAATGGAAAGTTATGCAAGCACAGTATGGATGTTGAAATTCTATAAAAAACTTCCTTATTTCTTTCAAGCAAGAACATATTTTCTTGAACCCTTCTCTCCAATTTCAAATAAGGAACAGCTTTATATGAATCTGGAAAACCCATGATATATGTTAACCCAGAAGCATCAAACATAATAAGATAATAACAATGCCTCTAATATAATTACCATTTCTTATTTACTCATCGATATAAATACTACTGTATATACGTTCCATTTCATGCGTAAAACACATAATGCATTTGAGGCTCACTTCACACTCGTTGGTTATGCTTCTAACTGAAATACAAAAATTGGTTATGCATAAAATGTAATTGCAATTATTCGTGTTAATTAATCCGGTCACAACATATTATGTACAAAAGATGCATGAGTAAAGGAATGATTCGAGTACTTTTCTCGTGATGTTCCTATTTTTATCAATATACCTTTATTGGTACCTTTATTGGTACCTTTATTGGTACAATATATATACCTTTATTGGTACAACCATCAAGTGCTTGTAATATTCTGGCGAGTATATTATCTTCAACTTTTTTGTGGGAGAGTATCTCCTTTATGTAGTCCACATTTACACGCGCACCCGTCATCTGAAATTGATGCATGAACGTAACGATGTAGACTTATAATTAATATATATATATATATATATATATATATATATATATATATATATATATATATATATATATATA